CTTAGGCATACCAGGGCTTGAGATGCGCCAGTTAGCGATGGGGGAATTGCCACCGCTACTGCAGGTAGTGTTGGTATCGAGAGTGACAGTGGGGGTTGGGGTGGAGAGAGAAAGACGAGAGGGCATCTCCTGCAGCATGTGCTGGTGCTCCAACTCAAATCCAAGATCTCTGCAAGCCTTGACTTCTTCCAAGTCCATGCACAGGGACCTCCTCCCTCCTTTGGGCCTTGTTATCACCACCACCCCTGTACCAGAGCCACCCTCACTCTCCCCACTAAAGCTATGACAATGGTCAAGCTGATTACTACCCATCCTCGTCATCATCATATTCATGTTCTCCTTGTTGTCTGATGAGATTCTCCTCCTACTTCTCCTCCTGCTCCTCTTCTTGGAATCGCCGCTCATCAGCGTTTGAGCTTCGTTCTCGCTGGCATACTCTTTGACCAACATGGGATTGGGATGCTTATAACGGAACATTCCCCCTGGAGCACTAGCCTGAGTCCTTGGTCTTCGGGGTGTCGCCGGAAGCGAGTAACAGCAGCCGGGTTCCTTGTCGGAGTCGGATGACAGCCCAGCTTCCAGTAGTACTTGTTTGGTTCGTTTATCATTGGATGATAATGTTTCCTCGTCGTCTACATCCCCGTCAAAGCTTTCCATGGACAAGAGTGACATGTACATACTCATGCCACTCTGTTCTTGGGCATCATGATCTTGATCTTGATGTAGGCCTTGGTAGAAGTAGTTATCATCAACATCATCATCAATTTCATCCAGATCAGGAGCACCATAGGTGGAACTCCTACTAGTACACATAGACAGCCTGGACAAGTTGTGGAGATGGGGATGGTGATCATATCCATCATCCGTCGTATCATCGTCATACTCGTCTTCCTGCATGGGGATGCAAGAGCGGATGGTCATACTTTCATCTGACGCCATATTAGTATGTTGTTTCTCCCTCTCTCTCCCTCTCTCCCTCTCTCCCTCTCTCCCTCTCTCCCTCAACAGACAGTCTGAAAGCAGTCAGGGCAATTGGACAATTGGGTTATAATTTAAGTAATAACAAAGTTTTGTTGTTTTTGTTGGTTATCAGAAGAGGAGTAGAGTGAAGAAGAAAGAATGGTGGTTTTATTTATAGGCAACAGAATGCAAAGATGAGTGGGTCGTTTGGGCTTTTGTGGATCATTCGTTTGCACAATTCATGATAAGGTAAAGGTAGTCAGATAGATTTATGATATGATATATATCCAATTCATCCATCTATCCATCTACCCTATTTATTTTCTCCCTCTTCTTTTGTATATATCTTATCTCGTGCTCAGTTAATTCCTATAATGCCCTCCCTCATAAGGTTCCAAGTCGACATGTCTTTGTGCCTAGTTATGACTAGACACTAGTCAGGGAAGTTACAGTAATTTGAGTTGATTCCTGATAGTAATATGTTATGTGTCATCTGCCATGTGTGTGGGGTTCTGCTGTTCTATACAAGTTTTCCCCACGGGTGAGTGTAAGATATTGAATATGACTTTTTCTTTTTCTTTTTCTCTTTGAAACTTCGCATTGGTTTCTTTTTTTTTCTAACCGTAATATATAATATATTCATTGGTTTAGGACACCCTGTTCACTTGACCTATTTTTTTAAATTTAAAAGATGCAAAAGCAAAATCCCCCAAAAGATTACAGATTATGGGAACTTGACCGATCCCAACACACACGGAATTGCAGCAGCACGATTAGGTTGATGGGTTTTAGCAAGGAAGGGGAGGGTACGTTGGTTGTTGTTGGCATTTGGGTAGATGATCATCTTCATCAGTGTTGGTCAAATGAATGCAAATCAAGATGGAGACCTAATAGTAAGTGCACTGCACTCACTCGCTCGCTGGCTAGTACAAAGAAAGGGTTTAGGGCGTGGTTGGTTATATATCAACCATACCTTTCCTTTTGAATTTGTGATGGAACAAGAAGCAGCATAGGATTAGGAGGATAGGATTGGACCACATCCACAGGCAGGCAATCAATGTAATGATGCAAAGCTTTCAATTCAATACCACGTTACTCACATGTGATTTTCATATTATCAATTTCACTGTAAAACCTACCTTGCTTCTTGTGCAAGAATTGATCCAAGTACCCACCCCTATTGCATTATTGATTTATTGTATTGTTGTTGGACGTGTGAATGATTTGCATTGTTTTTGCCCTTTTTTTCTTTTTTTGTTCCTTTGGGTATAAAATTTGGATATCTTTTGAACTTTTCTGTAAAGTGAGTTTTTTGGGGTCTTCTTTTGATAACATATTTTATTGTGGGGATATCT